CTCTCTCTCTCTCTCTCTCTCTCTCTCTCTCTCTCTCTCTCTCTCTCTCTCTCTCTCTCTCTCTCTCTCTCTCTCTCTCTCTCTCTCTCTGTTGCTTATTCGCTTTTTGCACGACCTCCATCGACGACGCGGAAGAAACGGACCAAAAATCTAACAATGGAGTGCACGAGGATACGTATCGAGGAAGGGATTAATAATTCTCGCGATACGTCCGTCTGGCGGATAAAAAAGATCGGATTGGACCCGGTTTTTATCTATCCCTTCGCTCGAATCGACGACGAGTATTCGAATACTGATACTGTTTTGCCAATTTCAATTTGATCGCTGATAAATAATTAATCGACTCGATGGGGGAAGAAAGAAACTGTAAACTTTGATTTGAAGAAAATGTTTGCATTTGAAGATTTATCCAAGTTCTTAATTCACGAACTTGGTTTGAATTGTGTATTCGAGAGATGCAAAACTAGAAGTTCGAGGATTCCTTCTCGTTTTTAAGTTATACGTAGCGTTTTACCGATTTAATTTCAACGAAAGGATTTATAAAAAGTGGTTATGGAAAGTTTTCGACATGTTGCATAAGAAGGAAGCTTGAAGAATTTTGTTCTAATTAAATAACAGATAAATCGATACATAGATAGGTCGAATCAAACAATTATTTGTTGAGCCTCTTAAATATTTATATATCAATTATACAGTATTATTGTTATAAAGTTGAATAAGGCGAAATTTTACACGATTAAAGTTCCTTGTTTATTCTTTTAACAAGACATGATTCATCTTCAAAGAGCAGATCCAATTTTGGATGTAAGAATATAAAAGGCGATTGTGAAGTAGGTGAGGAAAACTTTCAAGCCATACTCTAGTCACTTTAACGAGGGAAAAGGGAGTATAGAGACACGATTCTGAAAACTGTTCCTGTTCGAGTTCTAAACAAGTTTTAAACACTCTTTCTCTGTGTCAAACTTTTGTAAGAAACGGCTCCCAAGTTTATAGTCACGTGTGTGTTGATGCACGTTATATCGTTGACACTAACGATCAAAGTGTTGGCAACCGAGATAATTCAAATAATATTCTTTTCCCCTCCGGACCATGAACGTTCTCGAGTAAAAATTGATTTATTCCGAGATTTGTTCTAGATTTGTCCAATTCTATTGATCGCTTGTCCTCAAAATAAATAAGTGGAACATTTACATTTTTATATATTTCGATCGCGTATTTCAAATGAGAAATTAAAAATTTGCAGCAAACAATAGATTAGATTAAATTGCCGCTCCATTATTCGAAAATCTATTATTCAAATGTTCGAATTTTTCAATTATTCTATTGCTAAAATATGAATGAAAAGGAAATATATGGCATCGTTAAGAAATGAGGGATACTTTAGAAGAGAATAAAAATCAAAGGACAATGTTAAAAGCATCTTCATGTCAAAGTACATTTATACTATTGGAAAAAGAATATCGAAATACTTTGAAGTACAAGTAGAATAGATTTTATCGTTTACTTACGTATTATAACGTAATATGAAAATTATAAAAGTTAAACAATAAAAGATAAAATAAGATGTACGGTATGAAATCTCTTCCATACTTACATTACAGTAGGAATAAAATTTCTTATTCAAATATCATATTGGAAATAACAACACACTCATACTGATCACGTACGTAAAAGAAAAATTCGTTACCTAATAAAAATTTCCTTTCTATCTTCACACATTTCTTGCAAATTTTATGCTTACGACACGATATCGAATATAAAATTTCCTTCAAATCTTCTAAAACGACAAGTACTCGTCGACGATATTATTAAAATTAATCTGTTCTTTCCTGTAACGCAAAAGGTGTCGTGGATCCGAAGAAGGGACTCGCATATCCTCTCAGTAGATAGAACCATGTTTATCCCGGACGAAAGGTTTCAAGCGCTTTTCGTAGATGCGTCGGACACTTGGACCCTGCAGGTTAAGTACGTGCAGGCACGCGACGAAGGCGAGTACGAGTGCCAAATCTCGACCGACCCGAAGAAGAGTCACATCATCAAGCTCAACATCGTCGGTGAGATTGCGAAAAAAATTTCCTCGATGATACTTGTGAACGACGAGGTCAAAAATTGTCAAAGTGAATGGATAATTTAATTTTCTTGGATCGCTTGCAATATTTATATCGATACCCGTGTAATTACGATTTATTAGAGATTGATCATTGACCATCCTCGTTCAATTCCACGCAAGTGTTATTTTTACGTCGGGTGAGAAGAGCTCTGTCATCGATCGTCCGAGCACTTCGTGAACCATGTTCCAACGACGTGATAAAAAATTATACGAGCGTAAAATACAGACATTTTCTCTTTCACGTAACACTCGTACCTGTGAGCGTTAAAGTGTAATAAAACTTCGCTCGGATAATCGCTTCGTATATTTAGTAATTAATTTTCTTTGTCGTACGATCACCTTCTTGCGATACATTTAACATACCGAATGGGCCATGGATGACCCACGACAATCGGCATCGTTTAATCCTCGCAGGAAATAGTATATGTTTTCAAATGTATACACTGTGAAAAAAAAAAAAATAGATTATTATATAATTAACATGTCGTACGTGTCTCACGATAGTCGGCTATCGATAGATGATAATCAGTAGAAGTTTTTTTTATCACGAAATATATAAATATTTCTTTATCATAATATCTAAGTATTATCAACGAATAGATCAAAATATCAAGAATTCCATATAATATTTACAATATCTAGTAATTAACCATTTCAACGTAGAATTTTATTCTTTGTTCAACGTTTTTATTTTTATTTTTTTTTTTCTAGTCACGCAATTTTTAAACTAAGATCACGATATTTAAAAAAAACTTGATATTTTTACGTAACGTGGATTAAAACATTTTTCAAGAATATATTACGTGCAATGCATTTCCTTTAAATTCACTGAATTATAAGGGGAAAAAATAGATACTAGCTGTGATTTTCCAGTGCCAAAGATCGAGATCATAGGCGACCGCGACATGTACGTGAAGACCGGAAGTACAGTTGCGATACGATGTGTGATCAAGCAATCCCTCGAGGGCCCTTTCTACGTTTTCTGGTACCACGAGGGTGACCGCGTCCTGGACTACCAACTGAACAAGATCGACATCCAGACGAAGAGGATCGATCACGACACGGTCAGCAGTCTCCTGATCCATAAAGCGAGGCGGGAAGATTCGGGCAATTACACTTGCAGTCCGAGCAGTTTGGACAGCGCAAGCGTGCAACTTCACGTGTTGAATGGTGAGCCCTATTTTCGCATTCCTGGAAATTAAATAACTTTCGTGAGCTTCGTATTGCATGACGTAAAACGAAAAAAAAAAAAAAAGCATTTCGATCCATTGTTCACGAAAGTTCGTGCTTGGAAACCTTTTCAAAGACCTTTTACAAATCTAATAAAGATTTACTTTGGATCGAGCCTCTCGAAGGAATAATTAAACTAATGTAATAGTAAATACGGACAGAGATTGTACCATAAAAAGATGGTAACTTTCTGAAATTAGTTTACCGATAATTCAACACAGTTTCGGGTCAATCCTTCGTCAACTTCTTGATTCAAATCCAATTAGAAGTCTAAACGCAACTCTATAAACGAATCTCTATAACAATATGAAATTCAAGTAAGGTTCGTTAATATTCATTCAGTCTCGATCACGAATCTTGTATTAATATTTAAATTTTATAATAATACGTAAGAAAGTAAAAATATTTTACATTATCGCGAACATCCAACTTCATTAAAAGTTTCCTACTTTTTAAATTAAAAAAAAAAAAAGAAGAAGAAAATATTGAGTTCCTTAACTCTTTTAAACATAATAAACTTACCTTAAAACAGCCGTATCGACTTTTCTATCCGAAAAAAAAAAACTTCCACAGAGTTTTCATGATAGTATAAGTAGATTAAGTATACAGATATGGGAAACGGTATCTGGAAAAAATAAAATAAAATTAGAGAGAAGTATTAAATATTGCCGGCGGCTAAAGCCGCGATATAAAAGTAGCAACGGGTATAAAAATCAATTCTCTGATACAGGGGAGCATCCTGCAGCGATTCAAAGAGGGATCAGCTCGGCACCGGGTGGCTGCCCGACGTTGTGGTGGCTGGCAGGCGTCGTCACGCTTTATTCGAGTCACGGTAGCCGCCTCTTCGTCCTCGCCCTTCTCATCCTCATGGTCCTCTATTCGAAGAATCCATCTTACTTCGCGCCGGAACGATAATCAGAAACGGGAGCTGGACTGTGTCGAAAGATGATCGATTATCTCCTGCTACGAGACCTGGAAGGCGCCTCGAGGGAACGTTACATCAGGAGGAGGCAAGGGAAAGTGCACGCGGAGGGCTTCTTCGGAAAAAAAGACTTCGTGGACGATGAAAGAGGAGGGAGAAGTTGATCGAGGGAACGATGGAAAACCGCGAGAGAACAGCGCGACGAGAAACTGCTGCATGCGTGTTCACGTTCGAAGATAACCGAGAGAAATATCGAGAAATATCCTTCATCCAACCGAATTTCATTGTCGAGTTCGTTCGTCGCAAAAAAAAAAAAAAAAAAAATAGATTTCGAATAAGTGTCGGCTTTCTTCGTTTAACGCGGCTCAGTGATCGAGTTTCGTCGAGAAATTATAAATGTACATTGAGAAAGGAAAAATCTTCACAACGAAGGATCGAAGGTCCTGCTTTTCGAACGACTCGATCCATTATCAATTAAGGATCCGTGAACGACGATTTTATTCTGTGAACGTGGTTATAAGGGAAATTCAGGATAAAGTACGTTTCGCGTGTCGAGATAGTATGATCCGGCCGTTAGCAATTAGGGGTTAATTAATCTCGGGGGGAGATTACCCGTGATATCGGCGCGAGTTCTTCACGCGGTCGAAAAGTGGTTATTTATGATCGAGCGATGGACAAAACGAACGACACGAAGTTTGCGAACACCCTCCCTCTAATCCTCATCTTCAAATGCGGGACAACAACAAGACGAATTTTTTATAGGAATTATACATATAAAAATATACGATCTTCCAATGTGTATTTCAAACACGCGCGATATAGAACCTTTTATACCCTCGTTACGCATCCTCCATCGTTCTATAACGAATCATTCTAACTGATCGCTGAATCGTCATCACGAAATCATTGTACATATTTGCCTATATAAAAAGTGACACTGTCGTGTTAAATGATCGTGTAAAAAAAAATCTTCCGAACGAAGGGACGACTAATAAGACGTGAAGTTCGAGAGGCGAGTTCCTCCCCTCCTTGTTCATCATCCAAAGATTGTCAAAGGTGTTTCGCGATCTTCGTGTCTTTCTCGAGGGAAGCCAAACAGTAACGAAGTCTTCGTGATCGATCGGTGAGATTCTGTCGGGGACATCGGGAGGGTTTCGTAGTTTATTTCGCATCGAGATTAAGACGGTGACGAGCGCGTGTAACTCTGCCAGAAGGAAAATGGAAATGGGGTTGGGAGTAGGTCGAGGAGTGTCGAGGAGGAATGGAGAGCAGGTCGAGAGAGCGGCTGAAAGAGTATGCAAGGTGTAAGATAATCGCGGGACGCCGACAGAACTTCGTCCGCGCCGCTTTCGATAGAATTGAAACTTGTTCGATGAAGTTTTTAAAAGCGATGTGATTAATTATATTCGAATAGAGTGACGATTAGCGAAATGTGTCTATACTCGACCGTGTACCGTGTACATTCGAGGATCGCCTCGAGGAAGGGATGTATCTCGACGATTGTCTTTGATAGACGATACGTCGAAATCATCCGATGGCATGAAGTACATGTGAATGAATAATTTCCTTCGTTTTTTCGAATCCTTTCATTCAGGTCACGAGAACGATATCGAACGAATGCAATTACCATGATTATATTATATAAGCTTTATTGCAATTAATCCGATACAAGGCAATAAAACAAAATATCATAACTGTCGACTAATGATTAAGTAAGATTTATAGGAGTCGTAAATGAAAAGGAATTAGAGTTTCAAAGCATAATAATTAGATTGCGAATTTTTATGTAAACGAAATCATATTTTTTACAAGTGATATAAAGATATTTGGCTAGAATAAACGAGCAATTGTCATGTAATTTATCTTAAAACTCGATTAAAAGCGTATTACAATTAAGAAAATTTTGAATCATTATAACACTGAAAATATTAGTTAAATATTTAAATACATTTTAGTATAAAAATCTGTAATATTTTCTTGTTTTTTAAGCCTACGAGTTAAGCTCAATAAAAATTTCTTCTGATAATTATATAAATAATCAATAAGAATTTAATTTTAAAAACTAATTATAATATTATCTATATCTTTACTATCTTATACTATTATCTTGATTATAGAAGATATAAGATTAATATCACTTTTACTAAAGAATACACTTATATAATAACAAGATTCATTCTTCTTCATATTATATTTTCTATATAGTTCCTGAATATTTTCGGATGAAAATTAAAAAATCTATAAGATGACTGAAATAATTTTATCTTTTATGATGTAAAATGTCACTGCCTAATAATAATTCAAAAGTGTTCTATCTCGAAAATATGTTCGACGAGATTGGTTCTATTATTAATATTTCGATTATTTATAATAGAGAAAATCGAATAAAAAAAGCATAAGAAACGTACCGATTGCCTTGAGACGATCTACGATGATAAATTTTGGTACTTGAAGTGCATTGAGTGTAGACACGAGCCAATAAAATGTTATATATCCGTGCATGCGTCAAGTTTCGTAACGGAATGGGTCATACACAAAAAAAGAAAAACAGAAAAAAATCACCAATTATTATCGAACAAACGATGATGTAAAAATTATTGACATGCGATATTCAAGAATTACAATCGATATAGATATTTCTTTTATTTTACGAATTCATAAAATTTTCTATGAATATTAAACAATTAATTTTTCATCAATGTTGATCGATAAAGCTATATTATTATTATAAAAATATGGGAAAAGTTATAATTTATAAATTTTCACTTACTTGTGTCATTTTTCATATTTTAGCAGCAATCACACGATGATACGACGAGAGATAAAATGACAAATAGACGATAGAACAATAATCGATCTGGAACAAGTTCAAAAAAAAGATCATTATGATCAATTTTGAAAGGCCCAGACTGTTTTCTTATTCTGCATGTTCGGCTGTATAGACATACGGACGAACAGCTTTTTGGATCGCCTAAGGCATCCTGTTTTGCTTTCTTCTCGCAAGCGATAGAAGATACTGTTTTTTATATTATATATAAAAATATATATATATATAAATATATATATACAAAGCAGATAAATATATATATGTATATGTGTGTACGCGCGCGAATACGTTGCACAATGGTGTTAAAATATTGAACAAGTTTCAGCTCGAATGAAAAAAAAAGCGGCGCAATAAATAACAGTGAGAAAATAACGAGAAGGTATAACACGGGATTAAAAACTAAGAGAGAAAAGTATTTAATGAAACATAGATGTGAGAATATAATGGCAAATAATTGTGAATACAACTATGGAAAAATTGGAAAAAAAATAGAGGTTAGGTGAAGAGATATGGGAGGGGAAAATGGAACTGGGAAAGAAAATTAGTCGAACGAGGCGAACGATACACTAGAATATCTACGATTCATGTGATTGTAAATATATAGTATATAAATAACGTAACGTTAATTAACGATATGCCGTACGTGTTACACTAAAAAAACAAACAAGGAAAAAAATAAATAACGTTACTGTGTAATTTTTCGGATCGTAAACGCATTCGAATGGGTCTGGCCGCCCGTGCTAACCGGCTCGAAATTGTGTTCGAGACAACAGCTGGTTTCGAAACTTCGAGATCGAGAATATTCGCGTCGTTTGATTCGTTCAAATTTTAATCGATCATTAGTCACGCTATGGCAAACTTCTGTACATTCCTTTGATCGATAAATAACGTATATATTTAACTAAATTTTTCTTGAATTCAATCGAATCTATTGCGAAGAACGTTCTCGAGAGATCCTCGATATATGAAGACGTTTTCAAGGACGAACACGACAAGAGAGAACGAAAATAAAGTGAGAAAAAATGAAAAAATTAAAAGTGCGGGAAAAGACAAAGAAAAGACTAGAAAAGGAGCAAAAGGCAGCACCGTCGCGTATTTCTGGCACATCGGTGCATCGAGCAACAAAAAGAAACGCAGCTATGTTCAGTGCGTTTCTGGATAGCACGGGCCGGCCACACGCGATTAGATGTAACACTAAATAACGCCTAGTGTAAGAACGGATATAAATGAAGGATTATATTGTCTGATATAATGTAACCAGGTATGGACGTACACGCGTATACGTGAATTTTTCGCGGCAATCAGTGACTGTGTGTGCATGAAACTACACGCGTGTGAAACTCAGTGTGCGACAGACGAATGATATTGAAGGGAAGCGAGAAAGAAAGAATGTATGCTTGTATATGCGACACTCGAAGAAGGAACGAAAGAAAATGAAAGAAAGGGAGAGAAAGAGAGAGAATGCGAGAGAGAGAAATAGAGAAAAAGTGTGAAAGGGTAAGTAAAAAAAAAGAAACACATACGCGAAAAGTAAAAAAAAAAAGTTGTTCGTTGGACTGACGTCATAAGGCGTTGGTCGAATGACGCATCTTATAATAAAAAAGGGACGACCGGGAACAATCTTCTTGTACCGTTTCTTCCCTTTCTTCTTCCCGTGCCTCGCGAGTGCCCACTTGTAACGAAAGATAAAAAGAAAGGGCTAAAGATAGGGCTCACCTCGAGGCCACAATTAAAGCTTGCCCGTTTACTATACCCTTTCTTGTTACAACAACTGGAGCCTCACCTCGCCAGGTGGAAGAAGAAAGTTATAATTTTCGCGCTCGTCCTCGTCGCCTCTTTATTATGACAGATAACAAAGAGGAGACGAGAGAAAAGGTTAAGATGGTGATGATGATAGTGATGATGGTTATAATAATGATGATTTAAATAAAAAAACGTTGTCTAAGGTATACTAACGTCGTAGGCAGCATTGAATTTTTGTACCATTGTCTATAGTAGCTCTTAAGTGTCGCGGATTTTTCTGTTCTTAAGATGCCAGCCTTTGCAGGCTTGAGTACGTATATAACTTATGTATTCTCGGTTTTGTCGATTGCTCGCGGGGCAGATATTGATTTTAGATGATATTATGAAATTGATTCGATTATTCTTCGATCATTCAAATTGCACAAGTGTACTATATTTGTAATTTTTTTCTTTTATTTCAAATTTATGACATTCCATGTAAATATATAATAACGTTTAATATAATAATATAACGTTTAAAATTTTACTTAAAGTAAATAATATTTTTTGATATATTTCTGTCAAATCTATCTTTGAAATCAGAAACCATCTATATCAAATCCGCCCCAGCGAAAAATACGTACCCGTTCCCGAGAGTCGCGGTACGCGAATATCGAAAGATCCTTTTTCGTGTGATGATTGACCGTCCTGACAGTTCGTCGATGTGCTCTTATGCGTAGATATTCGAAGTTAGTTTTTTCGATAGTAGATAATACGAGTAAGAGATGGTGATGAGATTCTGATCGAAGATAAATTAGAATTAACGATCTAGCAATCAGTTTTACGACTGAAGTTGCGAATTCGATTAATTTAAAAAAAAAAAAAAAACAATTGAAAATGAAGTTATTAGTGCGTTATACGATGAAAGTCGTGATTGATAGTGGAAACTGGATTGCAGGTAAGACGATTTCATAAAGAAATAAATTTTGTCAAAAGACCATATTGTATATTGGTGCGATATGAAATTTATCTCCGCGAAATAATGAATATTGATTCCGTGATATTGATTGCGTATAATTACATAATAATTATTGTGATTTTAACCCTCTACCGCTTATTACTACTAAATAAGTATAAAATATTATACTTATTTACGACGATATTGTTGTTTCTAATATAAATGATTTTTAAAAAAAAAAAGCAAAATACGTAGTGTAAATGAATTTATGCTTTGCTAATACAATTTTATTTTTTTATTTATCTTAACACACACAAATACATTTTTTAGATAAAACTATCATTATATTTAAAAATATATACTGTCATTGTTTCGCTTTACATTCCATTGTGTTTGTTTTTTTTTTTATTATTATTATTATTGGTAATTGATTTCGTATGTAAAGAGATTGTAATTGATACTTAGAAATTAATTTTTTGCTGTAGAGGGTTAGAAATAAATAAAAGATACATAGTCGTCGATCGAAACCCTCGGGACGGAGAAGATTTCATCAATCCCTCATTATCGACGATATTAAAACATGTCTCGTCGCGCTTATCTTCTTGACAAAAAAAAAAAAAAAAAAATAGAAAGCCATATTGAGGCTCCTGACACTTTAACAATATCCACAGTTCTTCGTTCGTCGAAAATACGAACGAAGATATAGCATTGATGTTTAAAAATATTTGGAAAATAATAGAATGATTTCCGTTCGATGAGAAAATTCAGGAGTCTCGATCGAGACAGAAGAAAATCAATCCATCGTGAACATGTTCAGTTTTCAGAGACAACTTCTCATAACGATAGTTACGTTTCCAATGCGCGACAGATCACACGTAGCAATGGGTCTAATTAATCGTTAACGCGTGCCGTTTGCTGGTTCGAACGTTCGACGAAGCTAATGACAAGTATTTTAAATAACACGCAACGTACAATCGATTCAAAAGTATAAAACGATCGAAGAGAAGAAGAGGTTAGGGATCAACGGAGAGGAAAATGGATGGGGAAAGCATTTGTCGAGCGCCCGAATAAGCGAACATCGATTTAAAAATTAACGTAAATAAATTAAACGAAAATTTTGAAAAAACGATGACCCTCGAAGCAAGCCTCGTCTCGCAGATTCTATAATGTACACCTTTGAGCGCTTTAGAGTAAATCGGAATAGACTTTAACGAATCCGTGAGATGATGCCGAGGAAATACAATTGCGTGGATGGATGGAGGATGAGAAACGAGCGGGAGTACGGACGCGTAGATGAAATGTATGTGTGAGAAGGATAAAGAAAGAAAGGTAAAAAGAGAAAATGATCGGTCTGAGAGTGAGAGGGAGAAAGAGAAAGAGAGAGAAAGATAATAAATCAATGTTAAACCGATCATTACCGATTTACAATTTTGAAAGACACATCTTCGTTATTCGCCATTTCTCTGCATAAGTTCAATCTCGGTTTCAAATGCTGGACGCTGCCCTCCCAAGGGCATAAATCGCAACTGAATCGACCGATGCTTTGTGTGGGTTTCTCTGTTTTGTAAAAGATTGAAAGAGAATTAATGAATTATTAAAAATAATCGATACGAATGCACAGGACATTTTTAATGCATTGGAAAGTGCCAGATGCGAGCATTTATCATCACAATGGGGCATCGTCCGCATCGAAATGTACATTACACACGAAGTCTCAGCGTTTACGTTTTTTTTTTTTCAAGGTATCGTGACAACAGGGACGAGAAGAACTGTCCCGTTCTATGTGTGTAAGAACCATAAAGCTTAATGAAGAACATTATACTATGAATTACGGGATACTAAATAAAAGTAAGCCAAACCGTTAATTGATTCTAATATTCTTTTTACCTTTATGAACGAAATCTATTTCTTTTTATTTAAATTTTTATTTTAAATTTAATAAATTTAATAATTATATAAAATATAAATTTTAAATAACTTAATAAAAATGAGCTTGTTACATTGTTAAAAAAAGTATAAAAACTTTCGTAAGTACTGGACGTTTATTATGCATATATCGAAAAAGTTACAAATGCTATATATTATAATATTTCTTTTATATATATATAAATTCTTGTACGTAATGCGATCGTAAAAAATAAAAAAAAGAATTTTATTCAGATTTTTTGTTTCTATCGCGAGTTTTCATACAATTTAAAATGATTTTCTGAAAATGTACAAGATAGCAGGCACTTATAAGACGAAAAATACCCATCAGTATTGATTGGATAAATAATTCTCGAATCGAATTAAATGGCGACATTCCAGAACATAGAACAGTTAATATAAAACCTTCCAAACCAACAGTAGAGAAAAATTTTCCAGCCTAAAAAATATAATTTATTTCATTAAATACATGGTTAATTAAATTATAATAAAATTTTGATTTTACTTACCAATGCATCTTTAAAAAGTTTTTCTGCTACTAATTCTGGACTGACAAGGGAACTAGTGCTCGATATGAGTTTTGTTTCAAGAGGTTTAGATAATTCTTCTATCGCAAAACCTGGAGTGTTAGTATCTGGAGGTAAACTCAGAGTCACAGAAATATTATAAGGAGCGAGTTCCATAGATATACTTTCTGCCAAGCCACGAAGCGCAAATTTTGTACTACAATAAGCTGAATAACCAAATATACCTAGAAGAGAAAAAGAATGAATTATACAATACAAATATATTTAAGTACAATGATAATAAGTACCTAATAATGCAGCTTGAGAAGAAGTAAATACAATAATTCCTTCTTGTGCAGCTTTCATTCTTTGAACAACAGCTTTTGTACAATAATATGATCCTAAGAAATTAATATTAATCATTTTTTGTAAATCTGCTGGTGAAGTGTCTTCAATTTTGCCACAAATTGCAGTTCCAGCACAATTCACTAACATATATATAGGTCCCATAGTTCTTTCTATATCATTTAGAGCTTTATCAACTGCATTATAATCTTCACCAACATCTAAAGATAAATATTCAACTTTTTGAATATCTTTATTTTTGCATGCATGAATGATTTCATTTCTTGCAATCTCTAATTTCTGAATATCTCTTGCAATTATTGTTACATGTGCTCCATATTTGGCAGCAAGAATTGCAATACATTTTCCTATTCCACTAGATCCACCAGTTACCTGATACAAAAATATTAAAAA